GGCTGCCGAGGCCGCGACCCCTCAAATACGATGGATATCGTTTGACGCATTCGTTTATTTTTTGCTGTTTTTCGAAGGAAACCCACATGCGTGCCGTGGTTGTGCCATAGTTTTGGGTTCTGTTTGAAGTCCTCACCTGGGCACAGGAAGAGCAGTATGTACGAATAGGAAGAGGCCGAGGCCGAGAACGCGTTGCCCTTTTGACTGCATTATGCAAATGCGCCTTGAAAGAGATTTTTATTGACATATGTTTCTGGCTTTTTGTTGGGACGGAGCTGGTCCGCTTGTATATGTGTATCGCCGGGTTTCCTGTCGCCACTTTGGTGGGTGTGAACAGAGTTTTAATTTTCATACATTTTCCAGCGGCTATACTTCTAGGGCTGGGCTTGGGCTGCACTCGGATTGGGTTGCGGCTGAAAGTGAGAGCATAGCACACACAAAAGTGAAGTTTATGGAGATTTAACGCCTTAATGAATTATTTATTTTTCTAGTTTTTCCATTTGCCTGACTTTTCCAATAAATCCAAACGATAATCGAAATCGTGGAACTTGCAAGATCTTGAAAGTAAGTTGGATTTCCAGCTTGAAAGTTTTGGAAATACTTTACGATGCTTTTATGATTAGTCGTTATGATCAATATTGAATATTTAACTATGAATTTATTGGTATTTTATTAAACCAGTTTAGGATTACAGGCTAGTCTTTATGACTTTAAAGGAAAGTAGTCTTAAAACACTGTCTTTAAATATTTTTAGATGATTTTGGTTATGCTTCCAATTGGTGTAATGTATTTTTTAATCCCTTAAATCTGCTTAGCAATCGTCAACCTAACTACTTAACAGGCATTAAAAGCCTTACCCCACAAACGAAAAAAATTGTGTCCAGGTGTTGCAACACTTTTTTTCCGTACCTCCTCTATGGTATTGCCAATAATTCACGACCCTGACTGGTTAGCTCTGCCTATGGGACGTGTCACAGCGCCGCAGAGATAAATTAGTTAATAAATAAAAAAGGGAAAAATGCTAACTAATTTGCATATTTGCCCTTTGCGAGGCCTCATTGACAGTTGGGCGCCGGGAGATCGCTTCACCGCCAAAAGCCAATGAGGCGCACCGAGAATGCATTTAAACCCGAAAAGTGGCTGGCGGGCTGGCCCGTTTCCACCATGTTACCCCTTCGACAACAATTGCCATTTTGTGCCCGGCTTGCGTTTTCGTTTTTTTTGGCGGGACGCGGAAATTTTCTATTTTCGGTTGAGCTAATTTGCATATGACAGCAAGGATGTGTTCGGTGTTCGGTGCGTGTGTGTATTGGAATTTGGCAAACTCACGGTGTGGCTGTGGGGTGCCGGCTGTAGGTAGCGAAAGTGAAAGGATCCGAAAGGATAAGCGCCCTGATTGCAATACCCAGAGACTTTTAACGGTCGCTGCATGCAAAATCGTAGAAATTGAAATTGCACAGCACACCCAAAGAAAGGAAAAAAAATGATAAATGGGTTGGTTGCATCCACGGGGAGACTACAATTCGCATTTGCCTATATGCAATTTGCCTACATGAGCGATATAGTTGACCTTGCCAAAAATAAAGACGGGAAATAAAGGGTTGCTCAAGGGTTGTCTTCTGAGGCGGTCTTCTTCAGCTCGTCCTCCGTCTCGCCCTTCTTAGGAGCCTCCTCGAGAGTTGTCTGTTTTTTTTGGCGCGCAAAAAATAATCGAAAGTTGGGCATATGGTAACGAGTTGTCCGAGGCCTCCTTCTACGCAAATGGGTTGCAGCTGAGGCTGATGACGATGATGATGCCTCTGCGATGTGTCTTTCTAATGAAACGTTTGTTTGCAAATGAGCTGCCAGCTAGATCCGGCGAGGGATGGGGGCAATAAGATAGGGTTAAAAATCGGGAGGGAAGATGATGTAAGGATTATTTGCATGAAACTCATTTTGAAGATGATTTAGGTAGGACAGACAGGCTCTGGGGAATCTTGGATTAATTGTTTCCCAATCCATGAATCGATTTTGAACGCTTCAGTGATTTTAAAATATACAAAGATCTTTGAAATTAACTTTTAGACCGTTATTTTTATCTTTTCTAGACTTATAATTAAGACTTATACTGCATATTTTTAATAGTTATGTTTCTCAGCTAAAGAAATTTAACTAAAGGTTTGCCATCTTAAAATTAGCATATTTTGAACCAAAATGATTTTTTTGCGTATGACATTTGTAAATAAAATTTGTCATTATTTGAAATTTGTTAATAAAAATACACACATATTTATTTTCCTAGACTCCAAACTCTAGAAAATAGCCGGAAATATCTGCAACCTTTTATGAAAACCCACCTGAAATATTTCATTTATTTACTCAGCTTGAAAATTTGGCAAAACTTGAGAGATTACCTTCATAAATCTCAAAAGATTCGATTAATGCTAAATTACTGGAGGTTGACATCCAATACGACATCCAAACTACACCCACTACGTAACACACTTACTTTTATGGCCAGACAAATAAAATAATGCTGCGGTTTTTATAATCCTGTTTAAAAGCAATAAATGCCTTCGAACAGAATAAAATTGCTTTGCATTTGCCACAAATTAGTCGTCCCCTGGAGCCCCCACAACCCACTCATATAGGGAGATATACTATGTGCACTCCGAAGTGTGTTTGTGTGCATTAATTGTATTGCGCGATAAACAAAGCGATCAAAAGCAGACCAGTTTATATGTCTTGATTCGGAAATTATGGCACTTTAATTACCAAAACAGACCCCGAAGTCTACGGCCTCTCGCTCTGGCGCGCCGGCCAGAAGAAGCCCGACAACAAATTAATGCAAAATAAGAAGAAAATTATGCTAATAATTATAAACAAGTGCGCCCAAAAGCGGCCACTGAACGAGGTGTGGGACAGAGATAGCAGGCGGGAGAGACAGAGAGGGTGGATATAAAAATGCAGCCCAAATGCTAATCGGGCTCATTATCATCCAAATCAACGGCGCCGTGGTAGCGGCGGCCACGAGAGATCTTCCCATTCATAAACGCAGCGCTTAGATGTTTTTTTCCTTTGCGGCGTGTTTTTTAAAGCATTTTTTTATTTACTCGCATGCGGCGCATAATTATGCAACAAGTCCTTTCGTGGCCACAAAAACCAAAACGCGGCGCGTGCGCACTTAGCATATGGCACTCCGAGGCCGTGGAGGCACAAAGCACAAAACAGGATTTTTTCCATCGACATTTGAAATTTAAATACAGAGTTTTTTCTACCACTCGCTGATGGTATTTAGCGCCGCCACCTAATTATCATGTAAATTTTTGTCTAAGGACGAACAATGCGACGAGTGACTGTGACTTTGTTTTGTCACCGGGTTTTTGGAATTTGGAATTTTGGGATGGAAAACGGTTGGCTTATTAATTATGCCCAAGTGCGTGGCCAAAGGATATGGTCATGGAAAAAATGTAAACAAATTCATGCAAATAATGTTGAACTCCGGCTTGTCTGGCTTGTGTCTGGCTGCCAGGATGACCTTAGTTTGCATAATTTTTGTGATTCGACTTCTTGACCTGCCACACGAGGAGGTCTTGGATGGTTGTGGCGGGTGGTTGACTTTAATATTAGGGACTTTATCCAAATGAAACACATTATTTTGTAGTGAACAAAAAATTGTTTAATTTATTTCTATCTGAAAACAATAGCTTTGTTTTTTAAAAATATCTTTTATAGTCCCGCTCTCCATTCATTCATTGTCCAGAAAACATAAACTTTTGAGAGGTTTTCCGTTCGATTCTTCCCTTTGTCCCCCAACGCTCCAAGCCGCTCCACTAAATCAAAAATTGCACACTGAGAGACAAAAGTGGAATTTTACGAGATGCCAGCTCCCTTAGGTATGCAAATTGGTGGCAATTTCGCAAAGTGCCCATAGAATCAATGGAGCTGACAGATAAAGTAAATCAATAACTATTGTAAGCGGGCACATAATTTAACTGTAAACTAGTCAAAACACCGTCACACTCACAAAAGCCGAAGAAAGGTGCCTTTTTATGAGAGATAATAGACTGATATGCATAACAAAAATAAACGATAAGCGGTTTGATTTAAATCAGCAAGTAAAGTGAAGTTTTTGTCCACATTGGCTGGAAATATAAGAATCTTATAACCTAAGACTTTAACAAAAAATTAAAAAAAAAGGTTTAAAAAAACAGCCATATTTGTATATCTCATTCACACATTTTTGCCATTTTTCTGCTGCTATTGGCAGCAATTTTAATTCATCTTGTTAACACCAGCAAGTAGAACATGTTTGTTTAGTTTTTATTTTATTTTAGCACAAAATAGTTTAAATATTCTGGAAAACAAAATGACAACCCCAGTTCCTCCCCCTTCCCGCACACACCCTCACACACTGGCAAAGGGAAAGCAAAAGTTGTCTGACCAAGGAGCTGCAAGGAACTGAAACAAAGCTCCCAAAGGGAAAGAGATGTCCTGCCCGAAAGCTCCACCGGCACTCCAGTATCCAGTATCCCGAGTCCATGCCCGGAGAAATCGAGAGCTGCGCCGTCTGTTCCTCTCGCCCTCTCGCTCGCACTCCGGGCAATTAAAAATGTCACTCTGCATGGGAATGCACTGAAGAAACGCTTCGAAGCCTCAGAGCCGGCTCGGCGATTGTCTTTTTTTTTGTCCTCTTCCACTCAGTCAGTCAGTCAGGCCGTCTTTTTTTGTTGGACTCTTTTTGGGGGCGTAACGCTGGAATACAGCGAGCCCAATAGAGCGCAAGTCGCCTTCCAGTTGACGGGCCGCAGTCCGTCCCGCTCTGCGCACCGCTGGCTGAGCTACTCTAACGCGCTGGTGGCTGGAAGCCGAGCTGAAAACTGGTTTCCCAGCGCCAACCGCCAGGGGTGCGCGTGTGTGTGTGCCTGTGGCAGCGACGGCGGCTGCGGATGTGTGCGTGCGTATCTCACAGATACTCGGGACCGTCGAGAGCGCTCAACGTAGCGCTGCGGTGCGAGACATGACGTTAGTTCACTTCGATAGCTCTACGAGTCTGCACGTGAATTTTCCCTGGGCTCTCGGCTGTCGTCTGGCTTTCTCAATTCTCAAATTCAATCGGAATCGGTCAACCAACAAACACGCACGCACACACAATCAGAGTCTTAAACTTGAGTCTTCATCTCAATCTGAATCTGAATCTGAATCTGAATCTTAATCTGAATCTGAATTCGAGTCTCAATAACGCATCTCGCATACCGCATCTGTGTAGCTGCATCAGAGTTTCGGGCTTATTTGTGAACAGAGAGCAAATGATATGATCGAAAGCGAAATTTCCATAACGAAATACGCCAAAAAGTGCCAAGTGTTTAAGAGTGCTAACTAATAAAGAAAATAAACAAATTGATGAAAAAGTTAAGTTGAAAATCTCGAAAAGAGTTAACGCAGCCTAAGGAGTACTACAACTAGTCAAGAGTGATTTGCCGACGGAATTTATTTTTGGTTCCATAAACTTGTTGAGCGCGCGCTGCGGGAGCCACGCCCCCGGAAGAATTAGAAGATTTTTGCGCCTGCCACGTTACCCGTAAAAGACGTCAAGACGGTTGCCTCACGGTTCGAGTGGAATGAGCATAGGGACCCTGGTCTTCCTTTCGATCGATCGGTCTACAAAGTCGTTAAACTGAGCCCCAACTTGGAGCCCTACCCCGCCAGCGTGGAGGGCCTGAACAGCCCCAGAGCGGTGGGGATGGCCGCTACATCGTACATGACCCCTCCGAGCGGCGACCTGGACATGGCCCTTGGCGGCGGTGGCTACCACACCTCGTCGCCGCGCTCGGCGGCCGATGCCGGTGAGATGAAGTACATGCAACACCATCACCATCACCATGCCGCTGCTGCGGCGGCAGCCCATCATCAGTTGCCCTCGTCCCCGTCGCCAAATGGCCAGGGCAACGGCACTGGCGGATTGGGTGGCCTGGGGCCCGGCTCGGGCCTGGGTTCCTGGAGTGCCCTGCACCCGGATCCGTGGTCGCTGCCGACCCATCACACGCACCATCATCCCGCCGCCGCCGCCGCTGCCGTCGCCTCGGCGGCCGACACAGTGAAGCAGGAGATGTCCCATCTCTCGCAGCAGACTCGCATCCAGCAGGGCATGGCCTCGCCCTCGCCCCACGCCGCCTGGCACGCCCCCCATGCCGGCCACTATGCGCCCACGGGATCGCCGCTGCAGTACCACCATGCGATGAACGGGATGCTCCACCATCCGGGCCATGCGGCCGCGGCAGCCCACCACCAGAGTGTGGCGCCACTGCATCACGCCCTGCGCGGGGAGTCTCCGCAGCTGCATATCCACGCCCACCACATGGGCGGTGGCGACCGGGATGCCATCAGCGGCGGCGAGGAGGACACTCCGACCTCCGACGACCTGGAGGCCTTCGCCAAGCAGTTCAAGCAGCGACGCATCAAGCTGGGCTTCACCCAGGCGGACGTCGGCCTGGCCCTGGGCACCCTCTACGGCAACGTCTTCTCCCAGACGACGATCTGCAGATTCGAGGCTCTGCAGCTGAGCTTCAAGAACATGTGCAAGCTGAAGCCGCTGCTGCAAAAGTGGCTGGAGGAGGCCGACTCCACCACGGGATCACCCACGTCGATCGACAAGATCGCGGCGCAGGGACGCAAGCGCAAGAAACGGACCAGCATCGAGGTGAGCGTGAAGGGAGCCCTCGAGCAGCACTTCCACAAGCAACCGAAGCCCTCGGCCCAGGAGATATCCTCGCTGGCCGACTCCCTGCAGCTGGAAAAGGAGGTGGTGCGCGTGTGGTTCTGCAATCGGCGGCAGAAGGAGAAGCGCATGACGCCACCGAACACCCTCGGCGGGGACATGATGGACGGCATGCCGCCGGGCCACATGCACCATGGTGGCTACCATCCGCACCACGACATGCACGGCAGCCCCATGGGTACCCACTCGCACTCCCACAGCCCGCCGATGCTGAGCCCCCAGAACATGCAGTCGGCGGCAGCGGCGCACCAGTTGGCGGCCCACTAGCAATCAGAAATCCAGGAGTCGAACTCAGCTGCAGCTGCGTCCACTCCTGCATCCCTCAATAGTCTAAGCCAGCAACAGCAGCAGCAGCAACAACAACAGCAGCAGCAGCAACACCAGCAACAGCAGCAGCAACACCAACAGCAGCAGCACACACCCAACACACCTTCGTCGAGTGCGGGATCGTCGGTGACGATGACCAGTCAGGTGATGTCGCCGCAAAGTCCGCTGGGCAGCTCCTCCGCTGGCAATCAGTCTAACAACAACAATAACAACAATAGCAGCACCAACAATAATAACAACAACAACGAGGAGCAAGTGAAACACCATCAGCAACAGCAACAACAGCAGGCCTCCAGCATAGCAGCCGCTGCAGCAGCCGCCATGTACATGGATCCCATGCGCTACCAGCATCCGCACCACCCGCACCCGCATCCTCACCAGCATCCGCACCTGAATCCCGCCCACCATCCGCACCTGTTCCACACCAGCGACCAGTTGCAGCATCCGCAGCAGCAGTCCGGCGGCGGCGGCGTCGGTGGTGGCGGCGGTGGCGGTGGCAGCGGACCCGGCAGCAACTCCCAACTGTCGCCCGGCGCCGGCAGCAATAGCGGTCTACCGCTCCAGCCGCCCAGCTCCGCCTCGCCCGCCGGCTCCGCCTCCAGTGTGCTGGGCGGTCACCTAAATCTTAATCCGCTGCACCAGCACCACCACTACCAGCACCACCACCACCAGCAGCACCACCACCATCAGCAGCAGCAGCAGCAGCTCCACGCCCGCCGCCTCTTCGAGCTGAGCCTCCAGTTTGGGGCGGCGGCGGCGCCGGGAGCGGTCCGTCACTTCAATAGCTTCGGTGGGGCGGGCGGAGCGGGTGGGGAATAGCATTCGTCGGCCGCCTGGTTCGGCTACGAGTCCTCCTAGGACTCGGTGTCGAACGGGTGGCCGCAGTTCAAGCGGGAGCAGCCCTAGAGCCGTACAGTCGAGCTTCTCCAACGTCAACTCTTCCGAGGCCAGTTTCCTAAGAGCTACGACGTCCTGTAGCCAGTTATTCGTTTGAAAAAATTATTTTAAAGACTTTAAAGTGAGTAAGCTTGAGGTTGGAAGAGTTCGACTGTCTAAGGAAATCCATAGAAATATTAAGTAAGGATGTTAGTTGATGGGGAGATCCTCTTTTTTACCAGTGCATTAATCTGTGTTAACTTCAGCTAAATAGGAGCAGGGAGCCGGGAGCAGGGAGCGGGTAGGAGCGATGGGGGCTGCCATCCACCAGTTTAGTTTGTTTTAAAGTTTGAAAAACTTGCTTAAATTAAATCAAATTAACTAAATTAAATGTAAACGAAATTTCCTTTGTATAAAAAGCGAAAGAAACACGCAATTCAAATCAAACGTGAAACCAAGTGATGTTGTTTTAACCTAAAAACTTAAAAAAGAAAACTAAACGCTAAAAATTAAACTTAAATGAAGAAATTAAAAAACAAAAACTAGTTAAAAGTGCGACCCAAGTGTTAATGAAACCAAAAAATGGAAAGAAGAGTAAAGAAAACACATTCCTCAGCTGCTCTCCAAAAGCAAGGTAAATGTTTCCATGCCCAAAAGTCCGCAAATATTATTTCGTTCAACACTATGTCGGCGTCTACATAGATCAAGTTATAACGCTCAAGAAAAAAATGAAAAAATAAGAGAAAAACACGTCAGCAGCAGTAAGACAGTTTGGTCGGTTATAGCTAGGGTTCTAGGTTCTTAAGCAAGCCGTGTTTATATATATTATATATATATGCAGCCAGTAGATTGTACTCTAAAAAATTTATATATAAACAAAAGTAATAATAAATAAATACACGAAACCAGAAAAATGAAAAATGTAGAATTTAACGCGCGGCGAAGTAAAAAAAGACGAGATGAAGAAATGAATTAAGTAAAATATGAAAATCGAAAATCCAAAACATCTGTAAATAAACAACTTACAGTTAAGTCATATTTTTAGCTTTAAATGCAATTGTAGATTTTTTAATAAACCCTTAAAAAAATGATAAAAATCCAACAGAAAAAAAAACAAAAAACCACATTTATAAAATATAAATTGTAATTTCTAGGCGGTAATTTTTAATGAATAGGCACGTGAAGTTTAGTTACTTAGTACTGTACTTTCTATATAAGCAAGGAATCGAATGGAAAACAAACAAGAATATAGCTAAATCTTAAAATTTAAACAAACAAATAATCAAATACCACAAATGCTAAATTGTAATATATTAATTGATGTACATTAAAAAACCGAAGGCAGCATAAATGCTAAACCACAAAATTGAAATTATTTCAACAACAAAAATAAACGAAAATTGTGTAAAAAAATCGTATATGTGTCTTTTGATTTACGATAACTTTGTTGTATAAATTTTCTCTTTAACATTTTTTTATTTTTGGGAATAACCTTATATTCTAGAATCTAGGATCTACGTTCTAGAAAGTAAAATAAATTTCTGTTTAGTGTACTTTGTTTTGGAATGTTGACAAGAAAAAGAACCTATGCTATAAGAGCGTGAGAAGTGAAACCGAATATTTAAGATTAAGCCATGCCCTCAACTGTATAATAAATTATATATACACTCACACAGACACACAGAAATGGAAAAATGGAGGCACCAAGTCAACAAAGAGGTGCACTTCCCACCCACACAAGTACTTCCACACACACACACATGCAGATGAAAAACCAAGAAGAAAAAATAAGCAAAAAGTAAAAAAAACTCTTAAAAACAAATAAAAATGAATATTATTCAAAAAAAGATGGTCCTTTTATTATTATTTAATTAGCGTTCAGTTTGTTTTCGTTAATTTTTCCCGTTTTACGCTTTTTATTTCTCATGTTTTTTGTTTGAAATTTTTTCCCCTCGCTCGCTCTCTGTCGGTTTTGGCCGAAAAGTTTACGAGTCGTTGGTTTTGACAGTTTACAGGATTTTTACGGCCACCTTTTTGCAGATCCTGGGTTACGATAGGGCGTTAATATCGATGGATTCGCGATAATTGGCCGTATTATTAATTTCGTTTGTTTGCTTAAAGTGTTCGCAAAGCCATTAAACAATTAAGGGGCATATTATAATGCGATTGCCTACGTCAGCGAGCGGGCAATTGGCAATTAACTAACAACACCCCATTGGCGATCGAGTTATTGGGCTCGTTAATGAAAGTTGCCATTAAAAAGCGTGGCATTTCGTGAAATTGCCGTTTTTTATAAGGCCTTAAGTGCTCTGCTCGGGAAGCAGGCTTTTGATGGATCTCTGGTCAACGCTCAATCATCAACCGAATTTGACGTCAATCGGTGGGCGATTAAAGTGACAGCTTGCCAGATTTACGCGGTCAGCTCGAAAATTTATTTGCTTGGGCACACTGAAAAATACGATTTTGAAGGATTTAAAAAAAGGGTTCCTTTAGTTGGTGAACCCAAAAACAATATCATAAAATGCCTTAAAATGTGTCTCATTCCGTCTGCCCATTGCCCCCTGCCGCCTCATTGGAATCTAATGTGCCGCACGCTTTTAACATTTAATTCATAATTTAAATGCATATTTCATTGGATGTTGATTAACACACATGTGTGCCGAACACATGTATTTGCCAGTCGAATTGATATTGATTAGTAATTCTGCATAAAAATTGCATCAGCCTGTAAATATATCCTGAAAGCCCCCAAAAACCAGCCGCCTCCGCCACCCGCTTTTGTCATCATTTGGCACGAAATAAACTCGCATAATTGAAAGCCAGTTTTAGGCTTAAGTATATAAACAATAACCAAACAGCAAATAATAACAATAATATATATAATACAGAAGCGCAAGTGCAATGATTTTTATTTATGTTGAAGCGAGACAATTTCATGGAAATTGAACTTTCGGCGCGTGGCTTATAATGTTTCAATAACAATCCTACAGCTCTGTGCACTCTGCCATATATTATATCGCCATATATAATTATTCTCTATGCTCCCTTAATTATTTTCTAACAAAAACAGAAAAAAATTGGACGATAGACGATAAAATGAAATGAAATTTAATGGGGAAACAACATGGCTGCCCACAAGCCTATTTATACTTTTATCTATTGCCACCTGCTATTTTGGGGTTGCTGAAACACACTCAGATACTCATACTCATACTACAGCCCTCACACTGAGACGCACACCCACTCGTGTAGATAAAACCTGCCCCTCGGGCTATATAAACTTTTATATGGAAAACGGAAAGGAAAGGTTTTTAATGGTCATGTGCTATTTAGTTGAAATACGCTTAAAGAATTTATGGGATTTTCGGGAGGATTGTCGAAGCTGAAGCGGAATTGGGTGAAATTCCTTTCAGATTAATCATAGTTAATGGATTTAGACGGTTGATTTAAATATGAAACACACTGTAATTCAATACCCTGCCTCCAGTTTATAGTTTCGTGCTTCATAAATGTGAAATTACCTGGTTTTAGAGTGACTCCGTATTTAAGAGGCGCGCATTCAATATTATATGATGATGATAAAAGAAACCTCAAATATGCGAGGGCAAATTGTAGTTTTCATTGGTTTTAATGTTGCTGCCGTGCGTGCCAAGTGCGACAGCGGCAACACCCCCTACACCCCATTTGGCCAGCACACCCTCCCCCGTGCTGGTATCTACTATATAGCCATATAACCATAGAGCTATAGAGAGAAACCCAAAACCCCTCCTCGAGGCAAATACCACCGACATTTTCATTATTATTTCGAGTGGAGTTGCTTTTTTATTATTTCGCGTGGCAAAGCAACACGCCGCCTGCTTTTGTACATTTCACTGTGTACTGTGTGTGCTTTTTGGGCTGCGTGCATACAACCGTGTCAATAATTACCCGTGGGACTGACACGACCAACGAGAATCATTCAAATGTTGCAAGAGCAGAGGCACCGCCGCCGCCACCACCACCACCACCACCTCCGTCACTAACAATGGCTAAAAACAAAAGCTGGGCCAACCCAGAGACACAGAAGCTGAGCCAGAAGCAGAAGCCACGGCAGAAGCGGCAGAGCTGAATCTGGTAACAGAAGTTGGTAACGCAGCTGAGAGAGTTGGGCCACAATGGCCAAGCCAAGCCAGGCCAGGCCGGGCATATTGCCATTGTGGTGGCTGGCGCAGCTTTTTCTTTGGCTTTGGCAAAATGGCTGACACTAGTCAACGTTACCCAAAGTCGGGCTGACGAACTGGGTGACTGACCATCTCTCAGGGGCGGACTGAGCAATACCAGACATTGTTATCAAAAAATTATCAGAATATTTAAAGGTAAGCATCTACATCCAGTTGCCGTTACACATTTAAATTAAATATCTTCTAATTCGGTTATTATATTATATATTATGATATGGCTTACAGACAATACTAAAATTATTAGAAAATTGTTAAAAATAAGTGCCTTCCAAAAATTTGAAAGCCATTTAATCTCAAACCCCACCAAAACCAACCCGAAACATCTTTAGTCCGCACCTGCTTTTGGGCCACACACTTTCCGTCAGTGGAACTTGGCTTTTGGCTTCGGCTGGGCGACTTTTTCACTGCCATCCGGAGTGTCGGGGACTCTGTGCTCATTATCTATGCTTCCTTTGGGAATTTTCATTTTCTTTTTCGCTTTTTATTTTATTTTGTTCGTTTTTTCCAAGTTCTGGCCGTGTGCGTTCGTGTGCGACAGTTTGGCTCGAAAACAAAGCCAAGAAATGCTGGAAAACACCATCCATCCAGATGGGAAGTACATATAAAAGAATATATATAGGTATACAACTTTATACTGGGACTGGGATTTCGCTTCGCCCCCAAGTCTGGTATTATAAAACCTTATACTAATTACTAAATTTATGGGGCTTTTAACGCAGCTCTCGGATACGTATTATTCGGAAAGTCAAATGCAGTCAAAAGCGTTGGAAATTCTTTTTAACTACCCACAAAAAAAAACTAAAAACACTGTACAGATGTTCGTCTTTGAGGAGAGATATACTCCCACCAGCGAATTAAGCTGTGACTGTGTGGAAAATGCAAGCGAAACAAGCCACAAATTGGGATGCGGCAGGTGGAGGTGGTGCCGAAGGTGGTGCGGTGGTGCGGGGTCGCCATCCAACACCTTCGACAGTGGAGGCACTTACTTACAGCGCTGGATCAGCAGACACCTAGACAAATAATGCGGGCATGCTATATATGGCCGATCATTGTGATATATGTGAGCCAGGGGGATGCCGAGGGGGGCTATTAAAATGTTTGGCTTGAAACCAAAGGGAATATTTATTGGTCATTCAATTATCACCTTTCCTGATTTAATGATGTAATGAAAATGCTTTATGCTACATAACTTAAACGTAACTATTTTGAACGATAGTATTCCAATAGCAAAGAAAGTAAAGAAAAAAATTAAACTTTAGAACTAGATGTAGATTATGAAAAAGACTTACTTTTTTAACTCCTCATTGAAGCATACTTACTAAAGAACTATTTTTGAATAGATGTGTGTATTTCAAATAATTTTATAGATTTTAAAGAATTTATTTTACAGAAAATATACTATTAATTTGTAATACATATAAAAATACATAAATGTTAGGACTTTAATAAGTAAGATGCAGGTTTTTTTTGAGCAGTACTAATTACCAGTTTTTTGAAGAAAATAATTACTTATTACCTAATTATTTTCTCATTAGTGATGATGAACTACTGTAATTTAAGTGGACGTTTTGTTTGCCGTTTGATATATTTTTATGTCTTCATTAGTATAAGTTATAAGACCACCCTCGCACCCATCTCGGCATCTATCGCCTCTGAAACAAACATCTCTCTAATAAGCAAACGCAATTGATGCCTGAACCATGACATTGTCGCCAATCTCCGGTCTACGGTCTCCGGCCTCCTCGGATCGCCTTTTACGTCTCGTGTTCACTCTCGGCTGAAAACTGTTGAAAATGCGCGGATTATTAATGGCTTTATAAGCTGCTGCTATTGCCGCTGCCATTGCGATTCCGCACCTTGTGCCCCGGCCCCACCTTTGCCGGGGTATTGGCAAGCAAATTGGCAGCCAGAAGTCGCTTGCTTGGCAAAGAGTAGTCCGAGTGGAGTCCAAGTCCACAGCCAAGACCGCCGCGATCGAGCGGCGCAGTGTCAAAGCCAACCACTTTGCGATATTTTTCTTTTTTTTTTTAAATGAACGTACTACTGCTGGTAAGGTTGTTGCTGCTCTTTTCGCTGCTGTTTGCATAGATTTTTAACGTATAAATAAAAAGGCAATGGGTGGGGTGGTGCTGGCAGGGGTGGTGCGCAAATAAAGTCAAACTGTGGGCCACCCTGGCCAGGCTTCGTACAAGATT